TTGTTGCAGACCGCTCTCTGTTCTTAGTGGATGCATTAGTTGTACCTTTTCAAAAACAGTTGGATTGTGGAGAAGCAACAGAGGTTTGGAAAATTGCTATTGTAAAACCTCTATTCAAAAAGAGAGGCCAAAAACAGATAATTATAGGCTGATTAGCCTAATATTTGTTGTTGGGGAAGTATGGAATCAATTATTTGTGAAGTAATAGCAGTACGTTTGGAAAATTGTAGTCTAATCAAGCAGAGTCGACGTGGTTTTATGGCGGCACAATAGCTCAGTGGTTAACACTGCTGCCTCACAGCGCCAGAGACCCAGGTTCAATTCTACACTTGGACGACTGTTGGTGCGGAGTTTACACGTTCTCCCCGTGTCTATGTGGGTTTTCTCTGGGTGCTCCAGTTTCCTCCCACAGTTCAAAGACGGGCATGCTAGGTGGATTGGCCATGCTAAATTGCCCATAGTGTCCAGGGATGGACACTATCTGACCTTTAAGTAATGTTCATCTCACAGGGATGTGTAGTTTATGTGGATTAGCCATGGGAAATGCAGGGTTACACTAGGGGAATGATTCTATGAAAGAAAAATCATGTCTGACTAATTTATTCGAGTTTTTCGAGGAAGTCTCAACCAGAGTGGATAGAAGGAAACCAGTAGACGTGTCGTATTTAGACTTCCAGAAGTCTTTTGATAAAGTACCTCACAAATGGATAAGTAGAAGATAAGCAACCACTATGTTGGAGGTACTACATTGGCATGGATAGAGAATTGGCTAATGGCAGGAATCAGCAAGTGGAATAAGGAGTTCTAATGAAGAGTCACCAGATTCAAAACATTGACTCTGCTTTCTCCCCACAGATGCTGCCAAACCTGCTGAGTTTTGCCAGCAATTCCTGTTTTCGTTTGTGGGATTCTTTTTTTCTGATTGGTTACCCATGACCAGTAGCTTTCTACAGGATCAGTGCTGGGACCGCAACTGTTTATAATATGCATTAATGACTTAAAAGAGGGAAGTGAATGGTACTGTAGCCAAATTTGTAGACACCACAAAATTAGGTGGAAAGGCAGTTGCAAGATGGATACAAACAATTTACAGAGAGAAATTGATAGAATAAATAAATGGACAAAAAGTTGGCAAATGAAGTATAATGTAGGAGAATGTGAAGTTGTTCATTTTGGAAGGGATAACAAAAGTCAGTATTATTTAAATAGAGAAAAACTGCACAAAGCTACAACACAAAGGGACTTGGGGGTACTTGTATATGAAATGCAGAAATCTAGCAGGTAATCAGGAGGCTAATGGAATGTTGGCCCTTATTTCAAGAGGGTTGGAATATAAGATTAGGGAAGTCATGCAGCAACTATATTAGGTGCTGGTGAGACCACATCTGGAGTACTGTGAGCAGTTTTTGGTCCCCTTATTTAAGGAAAGATATTTCATTGGAGGCAGTTCACAGAAGGCTCACTAGAATGATCCCTGATAAGGAGGGATTGTCTTATGAGTAAAAGCTAAAGAGATTGGTACTGTACTCATTGAAGTTTAGAAGAGAGAGATGATCTCATTGAAGCACATATGATTCATAAGGGGCTTGACAGGGTAAATGCTGAGAAGATGTTTCTGTCGTGAGAAAGTCTCTGAGCAGAAGGTGTAGTCGCAGAATAAAGGGGTACCAATTTAAAGACTGAGATGAAGAGGAATTTCTTTTCTCAGAGGGTTGAGTGTATTTTGAACTCCTTGCCATAGAGAGCTGTAGGGGCAGTGTCCTTGTTTATAGTTAAGGCTTAGGTGATCAGCTGGGGAATCGAGGGTTAAGGGAAAATACAGGAAACGGAATGTGCAGAATATTGGATCAACAATGATTCTGTTGAATGGCGGAGCAGACTAAGCGGCCTACTCCTGTTATGAGAGATAGCAAGAGCTGCAGATGCTGGAGTCAGAGGCAACACAGTGTGGAGCTGGAGGAACACAGCACGCCAGGCAGCATCAGAGGAGCAGAAAAGTTGACGTTTCGGGTCGGGACCCTTCTTCAGAAAAAATTCCCAACCCAAAATGTCAACTTTCCTACACCTCTGATACTGCTCCTGTTCCTATTTCATTTGGTCTTATGGTCATAACCTCTCTACTTTTGCATTCAATTCACCTTGCATTAAACCATAACATTGTATTTGCTTTATTGATTACTTACTGTACGTGCAATCTAAACATTTTTGTGATTCATTCACTAGTTTCAACCAGTTTCAGCTACTTTTTTTTCCCCAGAAGTTTTGATTTCCCATCTCAATCTTGGTTTACATAGAAACTGAAAAAGTTTCATTTCTTAGTTTCCCTTTTCAATTAGGGTCTGTATCAAAAAATGCAAATTTTGCGACTATCACTGTTTTCCCATGCATATGGTCAAGGCCATTAGAGGGTTCTTGTATTTGTGGACAAATGTTAGATAGAGGGTAAGTGCCTTTATTGTACTGCTTGTATGCCAGGAGCTGCAAGGGAGAGTAGGAAAGAGGGGTGGGAAGCTTCAGAGGTGAGGGAAGAACAATTCAAAAGGTTTTTGGTTGAGGGGTATGGGTTCGGATCAACTATTTGATGAGCATTAAAGGAAGATGTTGCGGATATTGATAGATCTGGATTTGCTGAGTAAAATGTGGAGTTCCTGTCAGCAAAATTAGAAGCTTGATTTCCCTGTGTAATTATGCTTCTTGTTTTTTTTTAACAGAAATCTTTAGAAACCAGACTAATTTACATTGTTAAGGAACCTGCTAATGCATTATTTGGAGCTATGGTGAGGTCTGATCCCTAATATTTGTGTGACTCTGATCCTAAGGGACATGTCAAATTGCCTAACACTTGAAGAGTGTTAGAGAAATTCAGATTTCAACTTGGAGTATTGATGGCACTTCACAAGTAATTGATTATCTGTGAAGTTACTTTTTACTCTTTAATGTACTAAAAAAATGCTGCATATGCACAGGTTATGTAATGTCCTTTTTGTCCTGAGATTTTCAACTTTTCCAAATATTTCACACAACAATTTAAAGGACCTATGCATTTAGATGAATCAGGTTTTGGAAAAGACTAAGAGGGTACATTGTGATTGATTTATTTATGGGGAGGGGTGAGAATTATGTTGATTTCAGGATATATTTTACTGAAATTCTGTTCATTTTCTAGGATTTTGATATTAATGCATTTTGGTTTGTGCAGTTACTTTAAATCCGTTCTGTTTGTATTTTACTCCAGTAGCTGTTTTGGCTGGAATTTGTAAACTTTAGAGTAGGAAAATCTGTAACAATAGTCTGTAGGAATGCAGCCATCATATTCAAATAACGCTAGGGTTTCCTGATTTACTTTATTGGCAATTAATTAGTGGTATAGTTGAAGGAGAGGCAAACTGTTCTGTAAAAACTTCAGCTGGCCCAATCTCCAGCACTTTTGATAACCTCTCCTTTTCCTCAGAGCATAAGTAATCTGATGTTTAAGTTCTTCAACCTGTCACTAAGTACTCTTGTCTTTATTTAAATACTATAAAGCAGTGACACTATGTTTGTTTACTATGTGGCCTTGTAAAACTCAGGAATCTTAAAACATTTACTGCAAAAAGCAGAGACAACAAGGTGCAGGGCTGGATGAACACAGCAGGCCAAGCAGCATCATAGGAGCAGAGAGGCTGACGTTTCGGGCCTAGACCCTTCATCCATGTGATAGAGGCAAAATCCCAGTCAGTATCTACTGTGCTTGGTACCTACTTGTGCTATGCAATTTGCATTGAGCCTAGAAACTGAGAGCATTATCTCATTTGCAGTCAAATAACAATTTTATATCATTATGTTTCTGGTAGATTTGTGCCCCAGCAGGACACCAGGGCTGATGTGTTTCTATGCCACCAGACATTTTTATATATTGATGTAAAAGAAAAGACATAATATTATCTAAATTCAGGGTAAGTTTCAGTATGAATAGATACGAATGAAACAGTAAAGGTGAATAAAGGATAAAAATATTGGCACTCTGAACTTGTACTACACAGGGCATTGGTGAAGCCACACCTGGAATATTATGTGCAGTTTTGGTCATTAGGTCTAAGGAAGGATGTTCTTGTTGTAGAGAGAGTGTAGCGAAAGTTCACCAAATTGATTCCTGGGATGGCAGGACTGATGCATGAGGAGAGATTAGGTGAGTTAAGATTGTATTCACTGGAGTATAGATGAATGATGGGGGATCTCATTGAAAGCTATAAAATTCCAAAAGAACTAGATAGGTTAGATGTGAGGAGAATGTTCCTGATGGGGGGAGGTCCAGAATCAGGCATTGTGATTTAGGGTAAGGGGTAAACCTTTTAAGACTGGATGAGGAGAAATTTTTTCACTCGGAGTGGTGAACCTGTAGAATTTACTACCACAGAAAGTGGCTGAGGCCAAAACATTTGTGTTTTAAAGAATAAAGTAGATATAGCTCTTGTGGCTGAAAGGATACCGGGCGAGGACAGGATCAGGGCATTGAGCATGATGATCAGCCATGATCATATTGAATAGCAGAGCAGGCTCGAGGGGGCAAATGGCTGTTCCCAACTCCTATGTTTCTACTAACCTCCTATTTGTTTTGAAATTTGCACAGTTAAATAACCATACAGATTGTAGGTTTCTGGATAATTAAATTTGTAGCACATTTCCAGTCATGGTCTCAGCTATTATTCTATACTTCAATAAATCTCTATGAAATGGCTATTGTAATGTCTGCGCTTGTGAAATAAAGAAGAAAAGACAATATAACGCGTTGAAACTCAAAACTTAAAATCACTTCCTTTAATGACTCCATGCTTTAGTTTAAAATTGAGCAGACCTAATAAAATAGTTGAAAATGATTGTGAAAAAGAAACCATCCCATTCTATCAGTTTGTAGTTTTACTTTCCATGGGAATGCTTTTGGCTAACAGACTGCAGGTGAAAGTATTGTTTAATAGCACAGTTGACTTTATAAAGATGTCCAGTTCAGTTTTTGTTTACAGGTCGGAGGAACCCATTGCCTGAAGGTAAAATAAAGAGTTACATGTATCAACTATGTAAGTCCCTTGATTACATGCACAGGTAAGGAAAGTATATGCAGTGAAAATAGGTATCATAAATACTTTCCAGCCAATAATGTTAAGCTAAGTACTAAACTGATAAAGAAGGTGTACACACATGGGATCCAGGGTAACTTGGCAAATTGGATCTAAATAAAAACCGGAAGAACTATGGGTGCTTTAAATCAGAAACAAAAACAGAAGTTGCTGGAAAAGCTCAGCAGATCTGGCAGCATCTGTGAAGAAAAATCAGAGTTAAAGTTTTGGGTCCAGTGACCCTTCCTCAGAACTGATGGTAGCTAGGGGAGGGGTTAAGGAGTAAACGATAGGTGGGGATAGAGCCCAAAGAAAGAGAAGAACAGTTGGACAGTGGAAAGAGTTGATAACAATCTAGCTAGGAGGATGAATAACTGTTAATGGGAGCTGTTAGTGACTAACAATAGGTAGTGTATAATGGCAGGCTATGTGTTAACAAGACCTGGTGTGTGGGCTAGGGGGCTAGGACATGGGAGAGTTCACGCCCCAAATTTATCGAACTCAGTATTGAGTGCCAAGGGCTGCAGGGTCCCTAAGCGGAAAACTAGGTGCTGTTCTTTCAGCTTGTGCTGAGCTTTGCTGGAACACTGCAGCAAGCCTGAGGCAAAGATGTTGGCCAGGGAACAGGGTGGTGTGTTAAAGTGGCAGGTAAGTGGAAGCTCAGGGTCTTTTTTTTTTTTGAGGGCAAAACATAGATGTTCCGCAAAGTGGTCACCCAATCTACATTTCATTTCTCCAATGTAGAGGAGACCACGTTGTGAGCAGCAAATGCAGTAGACTAGATTGTGTGAAGTGCAGGTAAACTGCTGCTTCACCTGGAAGGTATGTTTGGGCCCTTGGAAACTTGGGATGGAGGAGGCAAATGGGCAGGTGTTTCACCTTCAGCAGGGAAGGTGCTGTGGATTTTGGGAGTGAAGGAAGAGTAGACCAGGGCGTCCTGGAGGGAACGGTCGCTGTGGAAGGCGGACAAGGGCCGGGAGGGGAATATGTGTCTGGTAGTGGTATCTTGGTGGAGGTGGCAGAAATGGTGGCTGATAATCTTCTGGATGTGGATGCTGGTGGGATGACAAGGGGAACCCTATTGGTGTTGTGGGAGGTAAGGGAGGGAATGAGGGCAGATGTGCAGGAGATTGGTCAGACAAATTGGCTTAGTGGTAGGAGTAGACAAGATTGTGGTTGAAGGATGTTTATGTGGTGTGACTGGAGGCCAGTAGGCAGATCAGTGGCAGATGGAATTTAATCCTGAAAAGTGTGAGGTGATGCACTTTGGAAGAAGTAACAAGACAAAGGAGTACTAAATGAATGGCAGGACACTAGGAATCTCAAAGTATTGAAGGGTGATTAAGAAGGCATATGGGACACTTGCCTTTATCGGTTCGTGGCATAGATTATATGAGAAAATCTATTAAATTGGAAGCTGTACCAAACATTTGTTAGGCCACCGCTGGAGTATGCTGTAGAGATCTGGCTACCACACAGTAGGAAGGACAAGTTTACACTATAGGGGGTACGATATTGTCTGGGTAGAATGTTTTAGCTACAGAGAGGGGTTGGATAGGCTCGGGCTGTTATTCTTTTAAATCAATGGAGCCTGAGGGGAACTTAATTGAGGTATATAAAATTGTGAGGGGCGTGGATAGATTGGAGAGGAAAGCAGATCCCTTAGTTCAAGGGGGCATAATTTTAAGGTGAATGCCAGGAAGTTTAGAGGGGAATAAGGGAAATGTTTTTTCACCCTGAGGGTGCAGAGAATCTGGAATACACTGCTTGGGTGGGTAGTAGAGGCAGGATACCTCACAGCCATTAAAAAGTACTTGTATGAGCACTTGAAGTGTCGTAACATTCGAGGTTATGAGTCAAGTGCTGGGAAGTAATATTAGTATAGATAGGTAATAGGTTTTTTTTCGGTGCAGAAAAGTGCCAAAGTGCCTTGACTGTACTGCATGACTTGTCTCTATTTGCTAATTACTAAGTAATTAACTTAAGATGTTTAATTTTTAAGGACTGAATGCTTCTTTTGGCATTGTGGTAGCGTCCCTACCTCTGGACCACACGGTCAGGGTTAAAGTCGCCCTGTTCCAGAGGAGTGTAATATCCTCTCTGAAAAGGTTGACTAAGTATCTAAATTTAAGGACTGTTTTGATGGATTATAGTGCCAATAATCTATTCAGGATGTACATGTACATAGAAAAAAGTATCTCCGTTGATAACAGTTCATTGCGATACCAACAATATAGTGATGAAATTGATGAGAAAATTATACATGAAAATCATGGAGCAACTCATTATTTTACCTAAGCTTTTATTCATCACAGAAATGGGATTTTTCACCGAGATGTAAAGCCAGAAAACATTTTAATTAAGGTAAGATTTTTTTTTTTTCAAATGTGGTTCAACACTCAGTAGTATAGAGTATAGAGTAATGGGATTTATTTGTAAATCCTTTCATAGGATGCGAGCATTTTTATCCGGACCAGCATATATCTCTCCCATTTGGTGAGCCACCTTCTTGAACTGCTGCAGTCCATGTATTGTAGGAACACCCATAATGCTTTGGGAATGGTGTTGCAGAATTTTGACCCAATGACCATGAAGGACTACAATCTTGTTCTAAGTCGGGATGGTGTATGACTTTGAAGGAAATTTGTGGGTGGTGTTATTGCCATGTGCCCCGCTGCCCTTGCTCTTCCATTTTGGTTTGTAGGCTTGAAGGTGATGTCAAATGAGCCAAAGCTCTTTTGTCCGACCATTCTGCTCTGAAGAAGGGTCACCAGACTCCTATATTGGAAAACACAATCCTACAGAACTATATGTCAGAAATAATTAACATCAAGTGTGGCATGCCAACACTCAGTAACAGCTGGAAGACCCAGCATTCTGTGGTGCCCAGGACACTGAACAACTTTTTGCCGTTCTTAACAGAATGAAAAGAACATATTTATGCAGTATCTTTCCTCATGATAGATCAAACTGATCAACTGCTAATAATTTTACTTTGAGGCACATATTTAGCATTATTACATATGCAAATATAACAACAAATTTCTGCCCAACACAGTCATATATACACATATCAACATGGCTAGCAGACGGATGAAAAAGGAACTTTTTTTCTTTATTCATTCACGGGATAAGGGCATCACTGGCCATGCAGCATTTATTGCCCAATCCTAATTGCCCAGAGGGCAGTTGAGAGTCAACTACATTGCTGTGGGTCTGGAGTCACATGTAGGCCAGACCAGGTAAGGATGGCAGTTTTCTTCTCTGAAAGGACATTAGTGAACCAGATGGCTTTTTCCAACAATTGACAATGGATTCATGGTCATCATTAGATTCTTAATTCCAGATATTTTACTGTATTCAAATTCCACCATCTGCCATGGTGGGATTCGAACCCGGCTCCCTAGAACACAATCTGGGTCTCTGGATTAATAGTCCAGTGATAAATTGGACTTAAGTTACAGAAAAAGGGGTGATGCATGTAATTCTATCCACAAAATACTCCAAAGTTAAAAACAAACAGGAAATATACAGCAGCATTTATCTTTATGGTGTCACTATGGTGACAATAAAAAAAAGGTTATAGGAGTCTGCATAGTTGAACAACCTAGAGAAAAATCTGTAATTAATCCATCATGAATCTCTACTGTTCAGCACATGACTTTCCAGTTGGAGACTCTACGTTATGTTGCAAAGATGAACACCTGCATCAGGGATATCTATCATTTGTGAAAAATTTGGAAAAACCTATCATTGGCTGTGAAGAGACTGAAAAATCATATGATAGTCTGGGGAACTCTTCCTTATGCCAATGATACATTTGGACTGGGCCATTACGCCAGCCCAACACGCATCCTGAAGTTTCAAAGCTAGCTTGTAATTCTTGCACTGTCAAATTCCAATGTACTTTTTAGCAACCATCCACATTCACTATTCACTATTCCCATTCACTATTCCCCATCTACCAATTTAGATAAGGCATATACCACATTGTCATGGACCTAAAGTCTCAACATGTAATATACTAACAGGCCATTTAGTTTGAGATGGTCAATTGGATAAGATGGTAATTGATCCAGCAAAAGTCAATACCAAGTATGGCATATATGTTGTGGACATGTCTGTAGTTCCCTTTGTCTCGCTGTCAGAACAGGTGCTGGGTCCACTGCTTTTCGTCACTCATAAATGATTTAGATGTGAACAAAGGAGGTATGGTCAGAAGGTTTGCAGATGACACCAAAATTGGTGGTGTAGTGGACAGCAAAGAAGGTTACCTCGGAGTACAACAGGACCTTAATCAGATGGGCCAGTGGGCCGAGGAGTGGCAGATGAAGTTTAATTTAGATAAATGTGAGGTGCTGCGTTTTAGGAAAGCAAATCAGGGCAGGACTTGTACACTTAATAATAAAGTGCTGGGGTGTGTTGCTGAACAAAGATTTTGGAGTGCAGGTTCATAGTTCCTTGAAAATGGAGCCACAGCTGGACAGGATAGTGAAGAAGGTGTTTGGTATGCTTGTCTTTATTGGTCAGTGCATTGGGTATTGGAGTTGGGAGGTCGTGTTGTGGCTGTACAGGACATTGGTGATGCCACGTTTGGTGTACTGTTCAATTCTGGTCTCCCTGCTATAGGAAAGATGTTGTGAAACTTGAAAGGGTTCAGAAAGGATTTACAAGGATGTTGCCAGGGTTGGAAGGCTTGAGCTATAGGGAGAGGCTGAACTGGCTGGGGATATTCTCCCTAGAGCGTCAGAAGCTGAGGGGTGACCTTTATAGAATTTTGTAAAATCATGAGGGCCTATATCCCATATGCTTTCTTCACCACTTAATGTACTTCTCCTGCTACCTGAAGAGAACAGTGAACATGTACACCAAGGTTTCTCTGATCCTCAGTGCTTGCCAGGGTCTTACTGTCTATCTTGTATTCCCTTGCCATGTTTGTCCTGCCCAAGTGTATCACTTGGCTGGTAAACCGTTGCTTCCAGAGTTTTATTCTTTTCTGAGGACACTAGGGCTTTGGTCAACTCATCCAGAGAATAACGGCTAGTTAGCTTCTCCCATGTGCTGTTGTCTAAGACCTCCATTAGAGAAGTCAAGCACAACTGGGAGACCATGCTGCCTGTTGGCTTTGCATCCTACAGTCTGGCATAAAAGGATTTGCTGATCCTCTGGATGTCAGATTGAGATGATGTTACCAAACCATCATCTTCCTTCAGGCTGTTGATCACAGAACTCTCCCATGCACTTTCTGGAAGAAGAAACTTAAGCTATCTGTAGAATTAGCAGTTGTCACCTCAGTCAAAAGCAGTGAACATGAAGGACCAGGTACAAAAACAGAAATTTCTGCAGAAGCTCGGCGGGTCTGGTAGCATCTTTGGGAAGAAAGCAGAATTGGCATTTTGAATCCCGTGACTCTTCATCAGAACAAGGACCAGATACATTATTGCAGCCAAAGAGATTTTTCTACGAAAAGCTGTGTCTTCACTGCAGGCAGTAGGTCAGGTCAAAGTGTTCTGGCCTTCTGCTCATCATATAGAATGACCATCAATCCCAGAGGATTATGGTTAGCAACCAAACTAGATGAGCACAACAGTTACCACTGCAACACCATTCCCTGCAACAAAATGGAAAGCCTGGAAAAGTAACATCACCTAGGAATCAGCTGATAACAGAGGACCATTAGGAAACCTGAACAATCTAAATACTATGGGAAAAAAAATCAATGAAGGGGGATGTTTGGAGAAATACGGTTGTACCCTTTTAGTGTATTGCCTGGTTTGCTGTAGTCATGTGACCTCCATGTCTTGCAGTATGTTTGCAGTCTGTCAGAACAATTAAGGACACACCACTTTTAACAGCAGGAGACTCAAATCTTTTCAGTGATGGGAGAAGTTTGGCAGACTGACCCAACATACTTTAACAATGGAGATAGGAAGTCAGACAGAATTTTGATCTTGTTGTCCAGCCAATGTAGTCTAAAGCAATTTTCTTTCACATCGTTTCTTCTCCATTTTCCCTGCTACAATATTGCATCTCTCAGCTCGCAAATTACCTACTGGCATGGTAACCTTATGGGAAATCTATGCCACCTTCAGTCCAAAATTAAACCATTTTAACCTCTGTCATAAGGGTTCAGTATGCAAGTGGTGTTTGTGTGTTCACTCACATATACACTGAACTTGGTGTCAATTTTAAATAAGAAAAACCAAAGAACTTTACATGCTGGAAATCAGAAACAAAAGTAGAAATTTCTGGAAAAAGACTCAGCAGGTCTGACATCATCTATGGAGAGAAAGCAGAGTTCATGTTTTGGATCCAGTGACGACTCTTCAGGACTGATTTGTAGCAAGGAAAAGGTTGGTATATATGCTGAAGACTGAGTGGCAGGAATAAACAATAGGTGGAGGTGGTGCCCAGAGAGAGAGAACAACAATTGGGCAGACAAAGGAATGTGTAAAGGTCAGCCTGGGAGAATCAAGAGCTACAAATGGAGATCTTTAGTAGCTCACGATGGGTTGGTTGTGGTAGCAGCCCATGTGATGACAAGGGTAAGGACATGGGAAAATGTGCTCAGGTTCTAAAATTATTGAACCCAATATTGAATCCTGAGGCTGCAGGGTCCCCAAGTTGAAAATGAGATGTTGTTCGTCCAGCTTGTGCTGAGCTTCACTGGAGCACTACAGCAAGCATGAGAGAGAAAGAGACATTGGCCAGGGAACACGGTGTGTTGATGTGGCAGGCAACAGGAAGCTTAGGATCACTTGTGGTCAGAACATAGATGTTCTGCAAAGCTATTGCCTCTGCTTAACGTTAATTCTGCTTTCTGGCCACAGATGCTGTCAGACCTGCTGAGTCTTTCCAGCAAGTTCTGTTTTCTTTAGGGTCAATTTTGTTTCATTCTCTAAAGCATGTGAGAAATAGGGTGAAATCCTGGAAGAAGTAGCTAATTTCAGTACTGTGGGTGTACCCCTACACCGCAATGTGTGCAGCAGTTCAAGAAGTGGATTGATCACTCCAGGGCAAATAGGGATGAACAACAAAATCTGGCCTTACCGATTAATTCCCACATCCCATGAAAGAATAATAAATAATTTTTCATGTCTTTAGAACCACCTCTTGGCAAGGTAGGTATTCATCATTCATCATTCTCAAGTACTAACTCAGCCTTTTGTTGACAGAGGATAAAAGTACTTGAGGACCAAGATCTCACTGCAAGACTAAGGTCACAGTTTATTGGGGAGCAGTAATCCCTGTTCTTGTGTGTTCTTTAGAGACTTGGATATGAGCTGTTGCTTGAGCAATAAGGATTGGTGTCTATCCAGAATTTGTGCTTACCTACAGAATGTGATTGGACAGTAATGTTTGAGAAATTGTGAATAAAGTATGTTATTGTTCTGAAATGAATAGCTATCTTTCAAATTGATTATTGAGAGCTACGTAATGATTTGGGCTTTTCACTGAAATAAAATGTTAAAGACTAAAATCAAGAACAGGTTTGAAGGCTGTCCACTCAGCCTTGTGAAAATTCAGGTGGTAACACATGATTGACTTTGTTTTTGCTTAGTGAATTTGATTACAATACTTAGAGGGAAATTTGATTTGAAAGAGTAGCTAACTGTGCCTTGAATTACTGATATTCACTGAAATAGAGGCCTGTACTTTTGTCATGATCAGATCTGTTAGCTGAGGTTAGTAACTTCTTCCATTTGGTCCCTTAGATGTCTCCAACTTACAATCTAAATAAAATCTTTCAGTAAAGGAAACTGAAGTAGACAAATGAAGTGGATTTTATGATGTTTTCTGTAACTGAACAGTTTATTCATTTCGAAAGGTGATATTTGTAACTACGCCATGTTTTAAATGTGCTGGGTTTACCTTGCAGCAAAACTTACTGAAGTTGGCAGATTTTGGTTCCTGTAGGAGTGTCTACTCAAAGCAGCCATATACAGAATATATTTCTACCCGATGGTATAGAGCCCCTGAATGTCTTCTTACAGATGGGTACTACAGCTTCAAAATGGACATCTGGAGCACAGGCTGTGTTTTCTATGAAATAACAAGGTGAACTTTGAACTCTACTGTTATATAAATATTATGTGATGTTGTTGAAAAATGTTTGTCCTAGACCATTAAGATGTAAGAGCAGAAAAAGGCCATTTGGCACATCTCTGCCATTCAATTAAATCATGGCAATCAGCAAATCCGATAATCCTCAACTCCACTTGCCTGCCGTTTCCCTTAACCCTTAATTCCCTCACTGGCTAAAAGTCTGTCTGTCTCACCTTTGAATTTACTTAACGACCCAGCCTCCAGAGCTCTCTGTAGTAAAGAATACCACAGATTCATGACCCTCTGAGAGAAGAAATGCCTCCTCATCTCTGCTCTAATCGGGCAACCCTCTACTCTGTGATTATGCCCTCTGGTGCCTTCTCTCAAAGTGGAAACACCCTCTCTGTGTCTACTGTGTCAAGTTCCCCTAAGAATTGTATAGGTTTCAATAAGGTTGCCTCTCATTCTTCTAAATTCCCATTAAGTACAAGCTCTCATCAAAGACACTCCCTCTGTTTCAGAGATCAACTTAGTGAGGCTTCTCTGGACTGATTCCAATGCTAGTATATTCTTTCTTACAAAAGGGAACCAAAACTGTTCCAGCTATGGTCTAACAAGTGCCTTGTATAGTTTTAGTATGACTTACCTATTTTTATACTCCGTTTCCTTTTGAAATAAAGACAACGTTGTGTTTGCATTCCTTAAACCTGCTGAAGTTGAATGCTAGCTTTTTGTAATTTATGCTCATCAATTCTAAATTGCTTTGTTCTGTACATTACTGCAGTCTTTCTCCATTTAAATAATAATCATTTCCTCTTCCTGCCAAGGTATAAAACCGTTACACTTTTTCCCACAATACATTTCACGTGCCAAGTTTCTACTTAGGTTAAATGACTATCTTTATCCATCTGCACACTTTGTCATCCTAACCCATGTGCCTTCCCCACCTATTTTTGTTTTATCTGCAAACCTAGCTGCTGTACATTTACTTTCCTCATCCAAGTATTTTATATGTGTGATCCCAATGATGATCCATTCATTATGCATTGCCATCCTTTAAAATATCCCCACCCCCTTTACCAAAACTGTCTGCCTTCTATTAGTTAGCCAATCCTCAATGTATGTTAATATACTACCTCCAACACCATGGGCTCTTATTAGTACCCAAACATGTACTAACTTAAACGTCATGGAAATCCAAATATATTACATCCACTTGTTTCCCTTTATCATGTTTGTTACCTGTTTTACCCTTCATTAAAGTCGTGCTGATTCTGCTTGATTATATTATGTATTTTCAAATGCTCTGTTATTGCATTCTCTACAGTAGAGTCTACATTTTCCCAATAACAGACCTTATGTTAACTGGCCTATCGTTACCTGTTCTTTAACACCTCTGTTTTGAATAAAGATGTTACTTTGGCAGTTTTCCAATTCTCTGGCACTTTTCCAGAACCTAAACAATCTTGGAAGCAATTTTTTTTGATATCCCACGAGGTTCAAGGGACTTAGTAGTCTCTAGCCCCACTAGATTGTCTACTACTTTTTTCTCTAGTCATAGTTACTTATTTCATCCCCCTTTTTTACTCTTTAATTATTTAGTACTTTTGGAAATCTCTTAATGTCTTCTACTTGAAGACTAATGCAAATTAATTCAATTCCTCTGCCATTTCCTGGTTCACTGTCATTATTTCACCAGTCTCATTCTGTAAGGGTCCTATATTCACATTAGCTTGTCTCTTCCTTTTTAATGTATTTAGATTTAGGTTTTATTGTCATGTATTTAAAGAAGCTTCTGCTGTCTGTCTTGATATTACTTGCAAATTTACTCTCAAAGTTTATTACCTTGTATGGTGCAGAAGTTAACTTGCCATATGTCAGCCCAAACCTACAGGTCTGGCTGCATTTTGACAAAGGCTGCTTCAGATCTGAGGTGTTGCAAATAGTGCTGCCCACACCATGCTGCCACCAAAGTTTGCAGTTTAAGCAGTGGGGGATTAGGGAGAGCATTTCAGTAACTGAAGCCCAGACAGCTAAAGATACAGCAATGGATAGTCGGTCAAAGGGAAGGGTTTGCCATGTCCAAAGAGTGAGTCAGTGAGAGGAACATGCAGTTTTGGAGGGAATACCATAAAGAGACTGTTCAAGGCTAAAGAAGGCCACAGAATTCGGGTGACAAATCTGAAACATACCACAGACTTTATACAACTTCAAATCTTTTGAAAATGTTTCCCCTTTGTTAACAATTACATATTCTTAAAGTTAAGTAACTAGCAACTAATCATTATACCAATGGCTATTTTGTTAAATACCACGTTCTGATCTGTATGTTGGATATAAAGCATGAAGCTCTGATTAAAATGCAGTCAATCTGGTTTGGAGTTGAGTTTTACAAGTGTTAGATGAAAAGAAATTCATATTAGGGTTTTTCCATGACCTTCAGGGTGACTAAGAGCACTTCGCCTCCAAGTATAGTTCTGATAATAACAAAAACAGAAGTTGCTGGAAAAGTTCAGCGGGTCTGGCAGTATCTGTGAAGAGAAATTGGAGTTAACGTTTCTGGTCCAGTGACCCTTCCTCAGAAGTTCTGATAGTAATGGAAGAAAGCACAGCAACCAATATACTACAGCAAGATCACTCAAGAAAACTGAAGAAATACACGGGAAGATAATCTGTTGTAGCAGGGCTGGTTGAGAGACAAATAGATAAATGACCTTCTCGTAGCTCGCAAGTATGTTTTCTGCACTCGTTGACATTTAAAAGAATGAGACTAAATCTTACTGAATTATAAGATGCCAAAAGGTCAGGATAGATTCTGGGAAATGTTTCCTCTCATGGGATAATCTACACCAGTTGTGGCGGGAGTGGGGGAGCACAGTTTAAAAGGTGGTGGCAAGGAAAGTATTTCTGTTTGCAGAGATTCATCAAGTCTTTGGAATTTTCTTCCGCAGCAAAATGTGAAACTAGTACTTGGAATATATTCAAGGCTGATTTAGTCAGATTTTTGATCAACAAAGGAGTTTAAAGGTGATGGATTTAGCCAGGAAAGTGGGAGTTAAGATGACAATCAGATCGGCTGTCATCTTAACATGGCAGAATAGGCTCAGTGGGCCAAATGATCTCCTCTGTGGGATGTGGGTGGCACTGGCTAGACCAACATTTATTGCCCATCCCTTATTTCCCTGGAAAAGATCCACAAGTTGTGAACCAGTGCAGTCCTTCAAGTGTAAGGGCACCTATGGTGCTGTTAGTAAGAAGTTGCAGGATTTTGTCCTAGCAAGAGTGAGGAAATTACAATACAGTTTCAGCCAGGATTGTGTGTGGCTTGGAGGGAACTTTGTAGGTGGTGGTGTTTCCATCCATTTGAAGTTCTTGTTCTTCTAGGTGGTATAGTTACAGGTTTGGAAGGTGCTGTGAGAGAACCTTGGTTAATTACTATAGTGCATCTTGTCTGGTGTGCACTGGTGCCAGTGTGTCAGTGGTGAAGAGAGTGAATACTCAGTTTGGGTTCCACCAGGGCCACTCCGTTTCTAATGTCATTACAGCTGTGGTTGAAATGTGGACAAAAGACTGAATTCCAGAGAGGAAATGAGAGTGACTGCCCGTGAGATCAAGGCCTCGATTGATTCAGCATGGAAGCACTGGAAAGATGGGAATCATGTTGGGGGGGCGGTGGGAAGTCTTTACCTGGTTGGCGTCATTTCATTTTTACAACAACAGAAACAGAAGTTGCTGGAAAAGCTCAGCAGGTCTGGCAGCATCTGTGACCCTTACTCAGAACTGGTTGTCATTTCACTTTTGGCTAATTGCAGCTCTTCTGAAGCATCTTGAGACATTTTTCCGTGTCAGAAACATTACATAAAAGTCATTGCATGCGCTTCATATTTTGTCATAAAATCAAAAGGTAATGTTGTTGACTTGCTCGCCGAGCTGGCTTGTTTTCGTTCAGACATTTCATCAGCATACTAGGTAACATCAGTGGAGCCTCTGATGAAGCATTGTTGTTCTACTCCACTTGCAATTTAAACTGTCTGGTCCATTATGGTGAGTAGTGTCATTTCCGGTTTTGATCTGTATGGGTTTGTATATGGGGTCCAATTCTATATGTTTGGTGATTTGAAGTATGGGTTGAAAACCATGCCTCTAGGAATTCCCATGCGTGTCTATGTTTGGCTTGGGCTACTATGGTTAAGTTGTCCCAGTTAAATTGATGGCCTTCATTTTCCAAGTATACTGGTTTTAAGGAAAGTTTGTTGTGTCATTTTGCTAGCTGATGTTCATATATTCTGATGGCTAGTTTCCTTCCTGTCTGTCCGATGTAATGTTTGCGGCAGTCGTTGCATGGTATTTTGTAAACCACGTTCGTTCTGCATGTTTTTGGAATGGGGTCTTTAATCCTTGTGAGTGTTTGTCATGGAGTGGCTGTGGCCTTGTGTGCTACCATGATTCCTAGTGGTCTTCGGAGTCTCGTTGTCAGTTCTGATATGTTCTTGACGTAGGGCAGTGTGGCCAATGTGTTAGGACATCCTGTGTCCTCTTGGTGTCTGATCAAAAGGTAATTACAGATTTCTGACAGTGCCACAATAAGCTAGCCTAGCAATTAATATTGAAACTGCTACTATTAAGTCAAATGTGGCTTCCAAGAGACTAAAATTACAGAACTGCAAAGTGTGTAGGAAAATGTACGTTACGATTTAGGTGTAGAGATTGAAGCAAAGTGCCTTTGACAATGAATATTAGTTTAGAGATTCCAGTGAGCATTCACAACTTTTTAATCAATGTTTACTCCCAGTAATCAATGCTATAGCATTGATGTGGGAATGAAGCAAGATGCACTATTGTCTATGATTAACTTACTGCAGTTTTTAAGAATGGTTGTAAAATTAATGTTTGCAAACTGCCAATGGTTCCATAGTATTCAATGACTGCTTATTAATGATTGATTACCTTTCATAAGTTTCATCCCTGCGGTCTCTTGTACTCATTAATAGACATTCAATTACCATTGCCAGGGCTGAACTGTATGGAAAGGGCACCCTTGTGAATTCTTAGAGAAAGTGGTGATTTGGAACTTTAACTCTTATGTTTCCTTCATTTGTTCAAGTTATTTTTTTGGTATTGTAACATCTTGTCTACAGAAGAACTTCTTTCTAGGTTTTCGGTGAGATATTTTGAGATATTTCTGTATAGAATCATACAGCTCCAAAGCCTATTTGGCACATTTATTCTTTCAGACAGCTGTCATATGCATGATAAATTTCATACATATTCTTGCTGAATTTTTATACATGTAAGTTTTCCTCTTTGTTTTACTTTAATTTACATACTCATGCTTAGGACCATGCTTGTTTTAGTTTATGCTTGGTGCGTTGAATTATATTATCTTCCATGTTCATCGTTATGCCTTCAGAGATCTTCTTCTCAATGTGCCCTTTACTGGAGAGATTATCATGAACCATTTCAACTCCCCCTCCCATTCCTCAGACGACGTGTCCATCCTGGGCCTCCTGCAGTGCCACAACGATGCCACCCGAAGGTTGCAGGAACAGCAACTCGTATTCCGCTTGGGAACCCTGCAGCCCAATGGTATCAATGTGGATTTCACAAGTTTCAAAATCTCCCCTCCCCCTACCGCATCCCAAAACCAGTCCAGCTCGTCCCTGCCTCCCTAACCTGTTCTTCCTCCCACCTATCCCCTCCTCCCACCTCAAGCCGCACCTCCATCTCCTACCAACCAACCTCATCCCGCCCCCTTGACCTGTCCGTCCTCCCTGGACTGACCTATCCCCTTCCTAACTCCCTACCTACACTCACCTTTACTGGCTCCATCCCCGCCTCTTCGACCTGTTTGTTTCCTCTCCACCTATCCTCTCCTCTATCCCTCTTCTATCCGCCTCCCACTCTCTCCCTATTTATTTCAGAACCCCCTTCCCTTCCCCCTTTTCTGAAGAAGGGTCTAGGCCCGAAACGTCAGCCTCTCTGCTCCTATGATGCTGCTTGGCCTGCTGTGTTCATCCAGCCCTGCACCTTGTTGTCTC